TCTTGAGAAATATTATTTAAATCTTCTTTACTATAAGTGTCAAAAAACCAAGTTTTAAACCGGTTCCATTTTTCATTTAAAAATTCGTTTTGAATATATTTTCTTGCCAGTGAACCTGGACTAAAATCAATTTGATGTTCACTCATCATTAAGTATCATTAAGATTAAAATCCATCTCGGATACAGAAGGAATATCCTTATCAGAAATATCAGATGCTTTATCATTCGTTTGAACAATGTTTAACCGAGGATCAATTTTAATTTTTTGTTTTTCTGCAGATATAACTGTTGATAAAGTATGTAATGACGCAGCGCGATTTCTAGCTGGACCATAACAAGGTTCTATTGGAGAAATATATTGAATAGTCAGTCTTCTATCAGAAGCAAAAGAATGTCTACTATAAGGAACACTTTTTTCATCAAATTGCATACAAATTTTTTCATCGGAATTTTGACTAATATGAGAATATTCAGAATTAGTGACAGCATCGGTCATTTGCTTAGGGGTATAACAGAATCTAAAATCCAAGTGGTAGGAAAATTAATTTCTTCCCATCAACATGTTTATTTGATCGGAAGCTTTGTATTATTATAGTTATTTCATCAAATACAATATGTATTAACTATTTTATCCCTATTTCTGCTAAACTTTTTAAAATATTTCATTTTGACCCTTCTTTTTCACTTTTTTACGATATACTATTACTAACTAATACTAAACAAACACTTTATTGTCAACATGTCTAAATAGATATAAATCACTACCATATATATTAATTTTACCTTTACTTTCAAATAATTATGTATATATTACCACTTTAAATATTTTATATCATATATTATTAAAGATACAATCAAATACTCACATCCATTCAAACTAGAATTGATTAATTATTTTTACTCCACAATTGACGTTTTAATAACAATCAAGTATCTTTCTCTCTCATCTCCCCCAATCTCCAATGCCATCAGTATCTCTCTCCCTACACCCCACATCAGTAGCTATTACTGCACTGCCCCTTATCTATGAAGCTTGAATTTTCACAATATGTATCTAATAAATTTATTGAAGATTTACATTATTGGAGATTTACACATATATTTGATATGATATATTTTGTCATATATTTGAGTCTTGTTATATGTATTTGTTATGATTTATTTTGTCATATATTTGAGTCTTGTCATATGTATTTGAATTAATATATGTATTTGTTATGATTTATTTTGTCATGTATTTGAGTCTTGTCATATGTATCTGAATTATTATATGCATTTGTTATGTCATTACATTGTATTTGATTATTTTTATATGTATCTGATCTACATGTATACATTGTGTTCAATTTAGATGCATAGTTATTTATGTATATGTAGATACAAGGAATTGTATATTAGTTTTTATGATTGTTCTTTCAACTTTACTTATCTCAGATATATTGTGTGTTTATTTTCAGATATATTGTTATTTAAATTTTGGTAGTAACATGATATATATATATATATATATATTGTTTTAGTCTGTTTCTCACTAAAGGAAGAAAAGGATTTCGAAATTTTTGAAACTTTTTTAGGAAGTTGTTATGTTACAGATTCTCAAAAGTTGTTAAATGAGTGATTTACTCCACCCAATTGAGCAATTTTGTTATGCTATATAAATAGACACATGTTTGTAATGTATCTACTTATTAACATATCTCAGATACGCGTATCTAGAAGAAGAAGCTCGAAATTCAGAGAAATAAGTTCAAATTCTAGAAAGAAAAATTGTTCACTTTGTTGTTGCTAGAAAATAAATGGAAGAAATGATTTATTTATTTATTTTCAATTTTTTTAGAAGTTGTTAGATTAGATATATTCAAAAACTGTTAAAAAAGTGGTCTCCTCCTTAAATTAAATATTTTTAGTTATAGTCATTAATTAAACATCTATCTCCACAGATACATGTATCTATCGAGTTAAGATAAATGTATTCAACCAACAAAATATGGTACAAAAAATAATATTTGAAACTATCATAAATACTAGTAATTGAAATCTAAACTAGTGAGATTGTGTTGTTTGCCCTATAAATTAATTTGAATTGACCTTTTTAAAAATAAATAAAATATTTTTTGTGTTTGTGTATTGACCTATTTGTTTTCTTATTGATTGTAAGTTTTGGTTACCATAGCTGCTCCATAATATTATATGCATCGACTATCTTATCCCTTATTTCTAACGCACCTTTAATATATTTCATTTTGCCCTTTTTTTTCATTTACTAATGCCCCTCCTTTTTCAATTTTATTACAACATATGCTATTGTAGACTTCGATAAATTCGATGATTTTTGAGCCTTTGTTCAAGCCATTGCAAGTGTTGATGTCTCATATATATAAGTGGATACATGCTCTGACAAATATGCAAGTGCATATTCACTTTATTTTTGGATGCTTATGTTCTTGTTCATAAAAAGAGTAGTCATTTCACTACATTTTAGTTAGCTTTTGTATTAATGTTTTGAAATTTTATTTTAATATATCAAGATAAATTTATTATTTTTATTTAATAATATATTTATTATTAAATAATTATATAAAGTAATAATAATCAAATTTAAAAATATGTAATAAAATTAAATTAATAAAATAATCTTGAATAAAATTGATTTATCGTTAATATAAATAAATCGTGTGATTCTTTTTATTATTTTAGTAAACAATTTGTGTTGATAAAATAAAACAATTGGCGGAACAAAAGATATAAAGAATAACTTAATTAGTCAATAATTTTTTATAATTAATTCTATGAAATAATTTTTTTACGAGTTTGTCAAAAAAAACTCAAATGAAACTTATCTTGAACCAAAATTAGCATTACACTTTTAAAAATAAAAAATAAATTGGGGATGGGGGCGTGAATTACAATATGGGAATTGAACCCGTCCATTTGGATTGGTTTTAAAAATTAATTTTTTAGTCAAAACCAAAAAGTCAAACTTGAATGATTTTTAAGTCAAAAAATAAAAAGTAGGAGGAGACCTATTTTTTGTTTTTAATTTATTTTAAGTTATTTTTAACATTATCAAACACTTCTAATTTATTTTAAGTTATGTTTATATTTGTCAAACATTTTTTGAACTCAAAAACTGACTTAAAAGTATATTTGATCAACTTTTAAGTCAATCCAAACGTCTAAGATCCTCCAAAATTAGCATTACACAAAATAGCATAAGAAGAATTATATTGTCAATATTTATAAATTTAAAATAATTTTTCTATCCTTTACCAATATTAAGATAGAATTATAATAGGAGTTGGATCCCCCGGTGTAGTGAAAAGAGATGGAAACAAATTAAACCGAATTTGATATCTATCCGTGAGAAGTGACGTATCCATTTTGTCTACTCTATATATCTCATGACTCATGCTCAACTTTTTGATAATAAAAAAGACTTAATACATAAATATATGATCTTAATCTGGATTCAACTGATAACTACGATTTTAATTTTGGGTGTGCATAAATAGGTATTTAAACTTGTATAAAATTAAGCAAGTAGACAAATGTATCATACGTGATATAATACGAGTAAGACATTGACATGTAGGGTGTCATGTAGGACGAATGTGTCTATTTGTTTATAAGTTTAACTGTCTACTTGTGTACATCCAAAGTTAAAGGTCATAGTTACCCACTGAACCAAGTTAAAAGGGATATGCTTGTATATTATGCCAAACGAAAAAATAGTGTACTACTTACTTTGCTTATGCCTTACTTAAACCATTTTCATCTCTTCTAATTTCCTATCCAAAAATTACCTCACAAGTAAAGCTAAACATTAGACCTATTCAAGGATAATTGTTGAGTGCAAGAAACTTAGCATCATTTTGTGAAAATTGATATGACCTTGTCATACTCATAAGTTTGAAAGGGATTTTAAGTTATAATCGTCATTAATTGCTGCTAATTTTTTTTTTATGATTATTATCTAATCTTATCTCCTAATTCAAAGGCCAAAAATTTCTTCTTCTTCTTTTTTTATTATTTAATTATTTGTTGTTTTTAAGGATTATTGAATTGTGCAGAGTGTCGGTTTTATTAGATGTCAAAATAAGCAATATGTGTGATGTATGGTGTGGGTGGAGCTAAGACTAAAGAGTCCATCTGATATTGATGTCTTAACAGTTAACACCCAACTTGTCCCTCTTTCCCACTTTACATACTTATTCACCAAACTTTTTCCTAACTTATTATTTCCATCTCTAACCACAATTTCAAACTAAAATTATAATAATTCATTTTTAAGAGTAAACTAAATAAATGTAAAGTAATATATCATCTCTTAAGTTCTATAATTATAAGAAATCTTTAGAAATAATCTAAAAAAATCTGGAGATATATACAAGAGCATTATTGTATAGCAGGCGAACCTAGAGGTAGTCGAGGGGTTCACCCCAATACCCCTCGACAAAAAATTACATTGTATAGATAAGATATTTTAAAGATTTTTTATACCTATATATATATATTGATTTTGTACCTTCTGAATGTAAGATTGGAAGTAGACCTAGTGGTTGAGGGGTTCAAAAACTCACCTTCCTGGATCCATCACTGGTTATATCCCAAAGAGAATTGCTTGTATTTTATATAGATAATATCTTTTTAAAGAAAATGATCTTTTACGCATCAAACCATCTCTTTCTTCAATTATATTATCTATATTTTTCTAACACTATATGGAATAAAAATAGAAAAGATGTTTTGAGTGAGATAAAAAAAAAAATGAAAGAGCTAGCTGCGTTACACAGTTGACGTGGAGTGTTCAAATACATGTATTCCCTTTATAAAAAATTAAAAAATACTTATAACATAAAGTTGGATCTTTTAATAGCAAGAGGTATATATAGTTAATAAATATTGTCGTAACATAACATAACGTAACGTAAGTATCTTTTTCTCCCAACTCTCACCTTCTTCTTTGCCACCGTTTCTTTCTCAGCTTAAATATTTCTCTTTTTTTCTCCCTTTGCTTGCTTCTCTTTATCTCCTCTACTTCAAGGTATTTCAAGATTCCTTTTTATTTTATTTTATTCATACTATATACTATATATATTTTATTATTTGGAGCTCTACACTAATTATATTACTCTATCTCTCTTTCTATAAACTTATTATAAATATTGTGAGATTAATTTAGTTAATTGCTCATCAGATGGCAGATAACAACACCACAACTCAAGACTTTGATGGTTCCTCTCAGGTACTAATTCAAATTATATTACTACTAATTCTTTTTTTCTGCTTCTTTGGGTAATGAACATTTCTCTTTTTACAAGTCGGCCGGTGCAATTTATTATTTTTTACACTTTTTTTCTTTATGAATCCGTTTCTTATTTGATAACTATTTAATGACAGTGTCTCCATTTTAATCATTATTAGGTCTCACTTTTAACTCTTTATTGTGGAAATACTAATTTGATTAACAAGTTGCAATTCGGTAAAATAGCCGTTTTGTCTTATTTTTTTAAATTGATCAAATAATGTCATATAAGTTATTCGGAGAGAATATCTTCGGTGTCTGTAATAAAGGTTTACAAAGCAATGAAACTGAAATATATTTAATCCCTTAAACGGTGCATTAATGATGAAATAGAATTGTTAACCCAAGAAATTTTGTGTGTAAAAATGAAAATCTCTCATAAAAAATAAATTATGAACTTATAATTTAAATAGAAGAAAATAACTTTTTTTAAAATTTTTATGTTTTGTGCTTAAAAATAAAAATCTCTTATAAAAAAATAAAATATAAAAGGCTAAAAAAAATCGTCCCTGCTGAGTGCTGACACATCACACATATACATACTTAGGTTACGAAAGATTTTTATAGCTAGGAACAATTAGATTTTAATTAAATTGATTGTGAACAATGTAAAGCGTTTATGAAACTCAATTAGATGCTTCCAAATCCCACATTTTCTTCTATTTATTTCTTTAAAAAGTATGAAAAGAAGAAATATGAATGTAGCGTGTGTGTTATTGGACCTAACATCCGTAATTGATACTTATGAATTGAAAGTTGGGTAGCCGCCTCTACTGAAAAAAAAAAGTTTAAACCGATCCACCACGGAGTAACATTAGATTATTTTTTTCAAGTACGAATAAATATAATTAGAAAAGAATTACGTAAATAAGACAAAGAAGGATTTTATATTGATAGATTAGGAATTAGGTTCCACAAATTACAATATCTTTTAATCATCTGCATTAGCATTAAGAACCGATTATATTTTTGGTTCCATATGATTTTCTTTGTAATTTTAGTAATGTGGTCCAAAAAAATAATATCTTGAGACATTTTTATTTTATTTTATTTTAAAAAAGAAAAGTATAAATATGATGTAGATTGTGGGGTTGAAGGGACAAAGCAATCACGTGCAACCTGCTGTAGGGGATCACAAAAGAGTGAAATATGGTTTCTGATTTAGATTTATGTATGTAACACATTTGAGCCACTCATACTTTAGATTCAATTATTATTGAAAAATGTGTCGGCACTAACTTAATTCGAAATTAAAAAAACTTGATTAGGATATTTAGTGAAATTAACTTATAAGTTTTAATCAGAAGATTTCTTTTAATTATTATCATTTTACAAATATTTAAAAAGTTGGACACATAAGTTTATGCTATGAATTATATATGGTTCTCTACAGGTAACTAATATTTGAAAAGTTTGAAAATAATATTTTTAACTTCTCAGAAACTTGGTCCAATAAGCTACATTTGTCTATGTTCCATACTCTCTACACACTATGATTTAATCAGAATAATAATAGAGTTTCGAAAAGACAAATTAAATTATCACATGGGATTCTGTGTTTGGTCCCCATTGAACTTTTTATTGTTTTAAATTTGTTCCTTGATATGTCAAATCAAGTCAAATGTTAGGCAAAAGGAGGAGATTAGCTAGTCATATGTTAATTGATTTATGTAGTGTTCGGTGTCTAATATTGAATTTATAAGTTGTTTTTTTGACTCAACTTTTGATTGTTTGGTATAATTACTAACTTTTGTAGACTACTTCTACTGGTAACAAATATGGAGGACTTGCGCCAAAGAAGAAGCCTTTGATTTCAAAGGCAAGTTTTATAGTATTATATTTTTCTCTTAAAAAGTCGTCTTTTCACCTAAAAACAAATTTACTAATTTATATAATGTTGTTGATACAGGATCATGAACGTGCTTTCTTTGACTCCGCTGACTGGGCTCTATGCAAGGTAGACATAAATTCTGTTGAAAAAAAAATTATATTCTCTAGTCAAATATATAATAAATAATTATTTTGTATTAAATATACATATATCATGTACATATACTGAGATTATTTTGATGGACGACTATTTATATAGGTTTTTCCTAATTTTTAGCCTCTTATTATTCTGGTATGTAACTCCAATATCCTTTTTAACTTTTTTATAATGTTGGTACTTTTCATATGGATACAGCAAGGTGCAGGAGTTGATCAAAAATCAACAGTGGCTATAGAAACATTGCGTCCCAAATTGCAGGTATGAATCAAATTTTTTTAAAAATAAAATAATAATTTATTATTTTTATCAATTTCATTTACAAGTAAATATTTGAAATGAAACAGAGAACAGCTCATCAGCAATTGCCTCCTAGAAGACCTGCTTGTACATCTTGATTCACATGTTGTACCTTCAAAATGCTGGTTTTGTTATGTTCTTTAATTTGATGGCTAAGTAGATATAATATGTCACTATAAATACAGGTGTGTTGTTTACTAAGTTCTTTTCTTCAATATGGGATTTGGATGTAATCACCAATAATTCTTTAAGAACTTTTGTTGCTTAAGCATTTATAAATTACTATTATTTTCCCACTTTTCAGAGTCTGCAAATATATCCTTTTTTGTTTTTGTTTTGAAATCATCAGAACCTTGAGGATGAATTGAAATTTTCTAGTAAAAGTAGTTCCTAATTGTGGGATGTCATGACAAAGGATTTTTCGTGGGATGCAGAGTGTTGCGATATTCATATCTCTGCATATACAACAATAAAAAACTTGTGAAATAGATTATTTTTTTTACATATTCACGTATTTATATTGGGTGCCTATTACATATAGTCTAGAGGATGATTTTTTTGTTAACTTAAAAGAAAAAATGGATGTGAATGCCTATTCTTTCACAGTAATTGTTTTAGTCAATAGAACGGTCACAAGTGAGGGCATTACCAATTCTAAACGAATAATTGATATGAAAAAGTACATCTAAAAAAAAAATAAAAAAAAATAAATAATAATAATGATAATAATAATAATAATAATAATGTGTTTGGTCCAACAAAGGTATCATGGTCAGATGAGTCAGTGAGTTATATATTCACAATCTATTAAGAGTTAGTTACGAGTTAGTTAGTGATGTAAAGTATCAATTAGTGGAGCCTATAAATATAGCTCTAATCACATGTAGGGATGTTCGTTTGGATAAAAATCGATACAAATCGAAAAATCGAATCAAACTGATAAAATAAAACCGATTTTATTTGGGTTTGGTTTGGTTTTAGATTTTTGAAAATCGGTAGTATTTTATTTGGTTATGATTTTATTCGAAAAATCGAAGAAATAACCGAACCAAACCGATGAATTATATGCATATATTTTATTAATATACATACTTAATATATTATAAATAATTTTAAAGATCTTATATATGTTTTCATTATAGTTTCTTTAGAATTTACCTATTGAAAGCAAAAATGCCCAATAGGTGAAAACATTTATTTTATTGATTTCATGTATAAGAGTGTCTATGACAATTCTTTGTGGGACTAAAAATGTTAATGTTTCTTTCTTCTAAGCCAATATAGTGAATTTTAAAGTTTTAATCATAATAAATTCAGTGATCGATCGAAAGTTCAATAATTTTAGTCATTCTAACTATTTTTTTTTGTTTTGAATGGATTGTTGTCACTTTTTTCACATTTTGAGTGAATTTTTTTCTTTTATTTTTGTGTATGGTTAATAACCGAATAATCAAACCAAATCGAAACCGATAACCACCAAACCGATAAATGTATATTATATTTGGTTTGGTTTGATTTCGATAATTTTAAAATATGGTTAATAACCGAATAACCAAACCAAATCGAAACCGATAAATGTATATTATATTTGGTTTGGTTTGATTTCGATAATTTTAAAACCGGTTAAATTGATTTGGTTTTGATTTTGATCAATAACCGATCCAAACTTACTCGTGAACACCCCTAATCACATGTAAAACATTGAGCAATGATAGTATAATCATGTAAATTGTCCATATTCATTAAATATAGATTCTTTCTCTCTTCTTCTCTAAATCTTTATATTTTATATGTGATTAAAATTATTCTTTATGTTTATATAGTAGATATTGAACCCCTTTCAATTTCTTTGTATGTTTATTTATTCATATTCTAAACACAATAATCTTGACGTCGTCATTGTTGTCACCTTATAGAATATAATAACTAAGAGTTTGAGCCAATGAAAAATAAAAGTATAAAACTAAAACTTAAGTTAAAACTTTATATACCAAAGAATATAATTACTTTTTTTTAACTTACTATCACATTATCGTTTAATCTGTTATAAAAAACTGTAAATAATTATAAAATTGATAACTCGATAAAATAATCTAAATTGTTATCTAAATCATTAGTAAAAGAATAAATTATTATATTTATTCAAGAGATATTATAAAGAAATGAAATTTGTTGTTATGAAAAGTTTTTATTAAAGAAAGCAGTGTTTATTGATTTTTTTAAAGACTTAAATGAAAAATATTGACTTAGACTCGCACGTGGAATGCCTATACATGAAATGCTATGCATGTTCTTGATGACTTATACACATGAAGTGAAAAATTGAATGATATAAGATATCTTTCAACATTTAAGGGATACGGTTTATAAACATTTTTATAGTGTTTAATTTAAAAAGTCATTTTCATAGTGTTTAAGTCATTTTAAGCTTGCAAGAGACATTATTAAATCCTATTTAAATTAGGAAAAATGGTCAAAAATGTCCTTCGTTTGTAGTTTGGTCTAAAAATGCTTTTGCCGTCAATACTTTGGTCCAAAATTACCCTTATTGTTATTTGATGGGTCAAAAATGCTCATCTTCTAAATAAATATATTATTTATTTTCTTTTTAACACATTCTTTTTTCTAATAATATTTTTTTAAATTAGGAAATGTGTATCTTACTTCAATTTCAGAAAAAAATAAAAAATGAAATTATTTCTTAATTTTTTATAATTATTTCTATCGTTATATAAATACAAATTAATGATGGATATATTATGATATTTTATGCATGACATATATTATATGCCGAAAGGATACATGAAATGATTCTATTTTAATTGATAAAATGAGATTAAGAAGAAAAAAATATTTCCTACATTTTTATTTGTTAAAGTGATTTTAAAAGAAAGAAAATAAGAACATGGTTCTTTAATAATATTTTAATTAGGAAGACGATATGTGTTAAAAAGGAAAAAATAATATATTTATTCAGAAAAGGGCATTTTGACCCATTTAGTAACTATAATGGCATTTCTGAGCCAAAGTTTTGACTGCAAAGACATTTTAAAACCAAAGTATTAACAGTAAGAGATACGGTTTATAAACATTTTTATAGTGTTTAATTTAAAAATTCATTTTCATAGTGTTTAATTTAAAAAGTCATTTTAAGCTTGCAAGAGACATTATTAAATCATAGTTAAATCATATTAATGGTGTCAGCGTCATAAGCCAGGTAATGAATGATGTTTATCCTTCTTTAAGGTAAGTAACAATTTAGTTTACTATAATTCTTTTTTTAGTGTTACTTATTATATTTATTTAAGCCATGTGATTTTTAAAAAAAAATTAGTATTACTTACTTAAGTTAAATTTAGGATTACATTGGAGCACTTGATGACACATGTTATAGCTAGATTGTTGCAAGGTCAATAAATATCTTATATTAGATGTAAATGTTATCTCACTCAAAATATTTTTGTAGTTGTATATTTTAAATGCATGATATCGAAATAGTATTGATTTATTTTAGTGCTTGAAATTTGTAGAAGAGACCAAAAAATAAATTTGATCTTTTTAAAAACACATAACAATAGATTTTGCATGATATAATGTAGAAGGTTTGAACGTTGGAGAGACTTTAGAATATTCAATAATCAGTGAATTAGAATAGTAGAAGAGGAATAAAAAAAGTAAATATAAGAATAATATTGTTGGTTCATGATAATTGTCGGAATATAAATGAGCTAGGCAACAAAATAGATAGCCACGTAAGAAACTAGAAAAGATACTTTTTTTATAAGGTAACTAGAAAAGATACTACAATCAACTAAACACAATTCAATTTTTCAATTATTACAATGATCTCTCAACATTAAATGAGGTAAAAATTTATTATATTTTCTATTCAAAAAATATTTTCAAATTTATGATATTGAAATTGGAGTCTCAAGCAATTGCTTTAGTGGCTTTATGATCGAGACGACCTCGTGTGAACGATGCATTTCAAAAAACTGAGAATGAGACATATATTCCATTGATTTTTTCGATGGAGGCACAACTTCAAAAGCTAATTGATATTAGAAAAAAATATAGGAGAACAAAGTGAGACTTATTAGATGGGGTTTTGTGATGATATGGTTGCTAATGATATTTGGAATGCTTGATGTTTATATTACTTGAATACTTCCACTTTTTGTATTAGTGAGGAAACTCAAGTTTCTAGTATGATAACTGGACAAAATAAGGGGTTTATACTTTATAGAAGAAGGGCAAAGATCATATGAGGAACTGGAAGTAAAAAACTTTATAGTTGACAACCAATGAGAAGTACAAAAACTACAAGAAATGCTATCAAAAGAGATGGTTAATCACATTACTCAAAACATTACTCATATTCTAACTAATGATGATAATGATAAAGCATGTTGGATGGACAATAACACTGGGAGTTTTAATGTCAAACTTGTTTATGAGGTATAAAGAAAAATAAGGAGAAGTCTCAGATCTATAATTTTATATGGTAGAAAGGAATGCCTATAAAGATAGGATTTTTCCTATAGAAGGTGATAAAGAGGAGAATTCCAATCGATGACAACTTAGTTAGCATGAGGATTCACAATGCTTCAAGATGTTGGTGTTGTGACCAATATTTACAGGAGACTATGTCTCACCTTTTTCAAACATCTCCTATAACTTCAAAACTATGGAGACATTTTACTATTTCTGTAGGTATAAATATAGAAGGATTGCAACTGTAACAAGCAATAACAGAATGGTGAATCGTTGTTCAATAAAATTACAAATCATATTCAAAGCAATGTCGTCAATTATGATATGGGGAATAATGAAAAAGATGAAATGCCAGAAGACTTGGAAAAAAGTGATATTAAGCAGAATTTTATGTTAAGTACAACACACAGTTCATCACCTGATAAGGATACTATTCCATAGATGATAATGTTACAATTCTTGAGCAAATAAAAATCAAAACTACACAATTGTGTGGTGAGATAGATGTTGCCCGCAAGAGGTAAATTAAAGTGTAACACTGATGGAGTCAGCCAAGGAAATAATGGACTTAGCTCATATGAGTTTTGCATCAGAGATGACACATGAGACTTAGTATACGACCAAGCAGGACAGATAGACGAGACAATAACTATAGAAGCTAAAGCTATGACAGTTTATGAAGCCCTAAAATTCGTATCCACACACAACATGTAGGGTGTCACATTGAAAACAGACTCCCTAATTCTAAAGAATATCTTATGTGATGTTTGGAATTTCCCATGGAAGTTAGTTGAAA